ATTCATATTCATATTCATATTCTTTTTCTGTGAAGTGTCTGTTCAGTTCCTTTCCCATTTATTAATTGAATTATTATTATTATTTTTCATGTTAAGTTTTTGAATTTTTTATATATCCTGAAGATTAATGCTCCATCAGAAAAACTCTTGAGCTCATAAATGAATTCAGCAAAGTAGCGGGATATAAAATCAAACACCCATAAATCAGTTGTGTTCCTATACATCAGTGATGGATCAACTGAAAAAGAAATTAGAAAAACTATCCCACATTCACAATAGCCTCAAAGAAAATAAAATAGTTGGGACTCAATCTAACAAAAGAGGTGAAAGACCTCTACAATGAAAAGTACAGAACATTAAAGAAAGAAATTGAAAAAGACTTTAGAAGATGGAAAGATCTCCCATGTTCATGGATAGGTAGAATTGATATTGTCAAAATGGACATACTACCAAAAGCACTATACATATTCAGTGTAATTCCTATTAAGGTTCTGATGACATTCTTGATAGAGACAGAAAAAGCAGTCATACAATTCACTTGGAAAAATAGGAGGCCCAGAATAGCCAAAGCAATCCTCAGCAAGAAAAGTCAAGCAGGAAGGCATCACGATACCAGACCTTAAAGTATACAACAAAGTCATAGTAACAAAAATGCATAGTATTGACACCAAAACAGACATGAAGACCAATGGTACAGAATAGAAGACACAGAGACAAACCCACATAAATACAGTTATCTTATACTAGACAAAGGCTCCAAAAACACATTGGAGAAAAGATAGCCTCTTCAACAAATGGTGCTGAGAAAACTGGAAATCCATATGTAATAAAATGAAAATTAGACCCCTATCTCTCACCCTGCTCAAAACTCAACTTAAAATGGATCAAGGACCTACTCATTAGACTGGAGACCCTGTACCTACTAGAAATAAAATGTAGGCCTAAATCTCCATCATGTTGACTTAGGAACTGAATTCCTCAACAAGACTCCTAAAGCACAAGAAGTAAAGTCAAGAATCAATAAATGGGATTTTATCAAATTAAAAAGCTTCTTCACAGCAAAGGAAATAATCAAGAACATGAACAGAGAGTTAAGATTTTTTTAAGGAACTTTATTCTCTAAATGCTTTTACAATATGATTCTCAAAACTCAAAAGAGGCTTAGGGAGACAAGGGTAGAGGATGTTTCCTGGTTATCTTTCTGACATCCATTATCTACCTGCCTCTTCCTAAGAGACTTGGTATTTCCCAGCCAGGTAGTTTGAGTGAAGTTGGTTTTACCACCTCAAGTCCTGGTGGCTCTGACTTAAGTCACTCAGCATGATCCACCCCTCCTAGTCTTGGCAACTGTTTAAGGATGGACACCTTACCAAAGGCTGTCAGTCAAAGCCAGTGAGATTCAACTAGGGAATAATGATTAAGCTATTAGAAAAGTGATGCCTCCCTGTCATGTGACTGGCATGCAGGTAGTCCCAGGAACTTCTAGAAGCTACTTTTGGGACCGAAAGAGGAGGGCCTATCTGAGAAGAGACCTGTCAAGCACCCAGAAGACAGAGGTAAGAGATGGAGGGGAAAAACTTGCTCTTAGTCACTGGGTTGGAACCTTGGATATAACCTCATTTTGAAACCCCCTATACGTGATCAAAAAAAATTGCTTTTCTAGGACAGCTTGCAACGAAAACAACTTTTGAAATATTTACCATATAAATGATAACATACAGTTCTAAAACCCATTTCCTGATCATTTGGGCTTGCAGTTTCATTTTCATAATGAAATCAGACACAGAACCATGAAATAGTGGCAATACCCACAAGGGGTTTGCAGAAAGGAAATGGGTTCTTTCTTCCATTTGCTAGCTTTTCCTCCTTCCTCTCCTTTTTGCCTCTTTCTCTCCAATTTCTAAAGCGAACACTTGGGTAAATCCCATTCTGAAGCCAAGTGCACTGAAGACTGTGTTAGCTTTGCAGGAAGGTGCTGAGACTCTCACATTGTCAAATGTATGATGGCCTACAGTGTTAGTAATCTAGATTTTTCTTCCTTTTATATGTTGTATACACCACAACCTCTAAAATATCCAATTATCTATTGAAGAAAACAGTCTTAATTCCCTACCTGCTAGGTGGACTTTGTCCATACCAACTACAGATGTCACAATTATCACTGGTCCATGTGTTCTCTTCTTAGGATTTGGGGGCCCATTGTAAATGTTCTTTGTATCCCTTAGCATGAAGCAAATATTTACAAACATCCATTCATGATGACGAAATGAATCTAATTGCTTTGTCCCTGACCAAATCTAACTTTACACAGACCTGGTCTATATTTCACAGTAGTTATCCCTATATCCACAAACATCCCTCCCCTACCTGTGATGGGGAGCTGGGCTGCTGTGCTGGATCTTGCCCCAGGGATTTGACAATTAAATGTCCCTAAGTCTGCATAACCCACTGTGCTGGGTCCTTGAAGCAGAGCTAGTCCCACAAAGTTTGTTTTGACTTTGCTTACCCCTTCCCCCATTCTCAGCTACAGGCCCCCAAATACAACTTGTTAACAATGCTCATGGTGTCACCAATTCCTTCAAGTTCTTACCCCTGCCTCTTTCCCCAGTAATGGGGACATAGATGACTGTGCTTGACCACCTTCCCCACTTGGGGGAAGGCAAGCCATCTCCTAAATTTGGTATTGTGCTCTCAGCTTCCCTCCCTTGTTGACTAGATTGTTTTGGGGACTGAAGGCTGGAGATGGTTCCAGAACCAAAATTTAGGAAGCCTGTAAATGGTAAGCACCTGGTCCAACTGGCAGCAACCATAGTTTCTAGCAATGTATGGCCAGGGGCCTCACGTGGACTTCAGTAAGAAGGATAGTCCCTAAGACCCGTTTTAGAAGGCCCTGCTAATCAACACACACACATAAACTTATTAAAGGACACCTGAGTACCTCTGTCACTCTGGTACTCAGTCTTGGCTAGGTGGGATATATCACCCTCCACAGCAATTCTTACCATGAATACCATTTAGGTCCTAAGAAAACACTTCTCTTCTTTACACAATGTCCTAAAAACAAAAAGCTACAGTTTCTGAATGCCATGAAGGACTATGACGTCATTAATGTTTGAGATGAAAACAATTTTATGTAAACACATTAAGGTTTTTATGCAAAAACATAAAAAGGGTCAATTTATGAAATCCCTCTTCTCAGCATAAACAAAATGAGTTCTGTAATGCAAAGTATGATTTCTCAACCAGGAGAAGCATTCATTTTCTTGCTTCTTTTGGTGTTCCAATTTGTGGTTCCAGATGTACTCAAGAATTAGCATGGTTTTGCAACAGTTGCATAGGACAGTGGGCTTGAGGAACTGGTGTGGGCCACTCTGGTCCCAGCCACTCTGGCAGCTGAGGCAGGAGGATTGCTTGAGTCCAAAGCCATCCTAGGCAACATAGTGAGACTCTGTCTCAAAAACAAAACAACAACAAACAACAACAAAACGGTGAAGGAATGGTAGCAATACATATTGCTCTTGCATTTGATTAGATGAATGTTAGAAATACTCTAAGTGAAAACAATGTGTATAATGAATTTAAGTTATGTTGCAACATTTCTGTGATCATTTATCTTATTGATCTCACTATACTATAGGAATGATATTTAAAATGTATGGCCTATTTCTAAACCTGAGTATTGCCTTAATTTTTAAAAACAACTCCTTTGTAAATGCTTAAGCAAAGTTTCTGCTTAATGCAAAGTTTCTCCAAATTGAACTTAGTGAACTACACTCTAAGAACTACAATGATTCAGGAAAGGTGGTCTGATTTGGAATTAAGAATGAAATCTTTATAAAGTAACGGTATATTTAGTGATCTTGCATAAGGAGTGAAACATAAACGTATAGAAAACATGAATAAACATATGAATGGTATATGAATTGTCCCTATATTAGGATCCAGACATTACCAAACTATCGCACAGTGAGACTAATATAACGATGATTAAATTGTCACCGACATTTTGCTGACTTTTGGTCACATAAAAACCTCAGCTTTTCTGTTCCACTGGTATGGAAAGTATAATAGTCAGGGTGAAAACAGAACACACCTTAACAACTTAATCCGTAACTTTTAAATATTTAGCTGTGGTGGTATAGGGACTTCTGTTTCTCCACTGCTCTAAGGCTGGTGGGGGTCCCAGTAGGTGGTACCCTGATCTGAGAGCTCTGCCCCCACCCAGTCTCCCTCGCTGGGCTCCCAGGTGTCCAGAGGTCCCGCCCCCACCGCCCACTTTCTCGGGTATTGGCTGCTTTGATCCTAGCGGTCCCGGGGTCAAGCTGGGGGTCGCAGGTACTGGCCACCCCAGGTTTTAGGCACTCAGCCAAAGCCAAGGCCACCTGGTCTCCAGCCGCGCCCTACTCGCTGCGGCCCAGAGTTCCCGTCCCTTCTCAAATCCGCTGGTCCGTCCCGAGCCCCTGGATCTCCCCTGACTCTCGGGTCCGGTGGTTTCACTGGAGGGTCCAAGGTCCCGACATTTTGCAGACATTTGGGTGGGTGGGAGCAGCCTGGGCGTGCTGGATCTGGGCGTGGGCGCGGGGTGGAGACCCCGGCCGGCGCGCGGGGGCTGCAGGAAGCGGCGGCGACAGCCTCTCGGGGACCGGCTCATCGGGGTTTGAAACACCCGGAAACGGATTCGGCTCCGGTACCCGTGCGGGCCGCCAGTTTCGGAGGGAGCGAGAAGAGCGGGCCGGTGGCTGCTGAGTAATACCCCGCGGCG